CAATAGGTACCCATGATAGGCATTCACTACCAGACAAATACATGAAAACAGTCTCTGAAATGAAGCAAGGAGAGAGATGCCATGGGAATTGTGAGGGAAATGCATAATGCCTATGAAGGAACAAATGGGGTAGACAAATGGGGTTGGCAGAATTGGTTGCTTTATCTTTGTGTCATAATGGTTAAGAGTGGGGGCTTGAGGTGAGTGAAATTTAGATTCACACACTTACTTGACATGCATATAGTACATTTTCAGTTTAACCCATTGAAGCCTTGCTTCATTTTCAGCCTAAAAATACCTTGTTAGAGAATGTTTTGAGAGTTAAATGTGTCAGTGTCAATAGAGTACTTTTTGAGGATTCTAGAAAACATGTGAACAAATGTTCTCGTTTTTATTATCACATTTTGCGGGGTTTTCAAGACAGAATTTCTCTGTTGTTTTGGAATCTATCCTAGAACTCACTCTGCACACCAGACTGTCCTTAATCTCATAGAGATCTGCCTGACTCTGCCTCCCAAATGCTGGGATTAATGGCTCATGCCACCACCTCTGGAGTCAAAGACACAGTTTTAGTATTTGAATAAGGGACTTGTAGAGGTCAGGGAGCAGAAACAATAGCAGCCTGGCTATTGCTGGCTGAAGTACCTTTCTGGTAGGATGGGTTGGTGACCAAGAGTGATGATTAATTCCTTGAACTTTCAGCTTCCTATTACAAAACAAACAAGCAAACAAAATGGTTGATGAGTGGGTATACGTTCTGAGGATTTCAAGAACTGATAATTGTTTTACCATTGGGCTGAGTACTAACAACCATGGATACTTCCCCTTAAAGAACCTGCCATCTTTCAACGGCCTAAAAGCTTTTCCCTATGTGGGAACCTCAGGGTCACAACATAGCCATGTTTTCTTTTTTAATGTTGTTGAACCACAGTATAACATTTCTTAAGTCAGATTTAACTATTTGGTTCTGGTTTGAAACTAACAGTGTGTACAGATTACAAATGTCACATGCACCATTTTTCCAACACCAGGGGAATTCTGACCCTAAACAGAGATTTTACTGAAGAAATCTAAATCTGTCACACATGTACTTTCTTGTGTATGCTGCACACCTTTGTATAAATCCTTCAACTACTTAGCGATATTAAAAATTATCTCTTGTTCTTCAAGACTATTTATTAAATAAAAAAGATGTAAAAGATGGTATTATATCATGGAAAGCTTACATACAGATGCTGACCATCTTGCTTAGATAGAAAATTATCATTGAGATTGAGAGACTATGAGAGAACAAATAAAATTTAAACGTAATATAATACAGTAATAAAGTCTCTGAAGACTTATCTAACATTCACATAACAAACATTCATATATTGCAAATTATCTACTGTCACACTTATCTGATCCTCAGTTTCCTTATATTTGCATGTTTCGTGGTGCTACCATTCTGAGTAGATTGAATCAATTGCGCTTATATATTTACCATTAAGCAGCCAAGTTGAGCCAAAGCTCTGTCCTTCTAGACTGATTGTTTCCCCATGTTCCTTATGAGTTTTGAGATGTACTATAGAACTACAGACTGTTTAAAGACCAAAACTATTTGCTCAAAACCCTATCATACTCCCATTTCCCAAAATAACACAAGATTGCCTTACATTCTACCCCAAACAAATTTCAGAAAATATGGTATAAACAATGTCTATGTAACTCATTCACCTTCCTAAACTCTTGCAAGAATAATTGTCTACTATTAGGAACTGCTTGATCTGAAAACAAATATTGTACTATTTGACTTCCAACAGCTTGATAGGTCAATCAGTGTTGTCCCCTTTTCATACCATCTTGAGTGATTTAACACTCAGATCAACAAAAGCCTCTCTGACTGTAACCACAACCTATGGTTGAGTTCTAGTGAGGAAATTATATTATGAATAAAGACAGTGTGCTTACCCTATAGCAATCAGACTGTCATTTTTTGTGACAAATTTTATTGTGTTCAAGAAGCAGTTGGGCAAACTTCTAAAAGAGACAAGATGATTCCATTTTCTACATATTAAATGAAAGAACTCTGCAAATCCACAGTGTGTGAGTTTGTTAAATTCTATGAAGTGTATCCACAATAGAAAACAGACAACCTTAAGCCCACAGTCTCAAAGACTGGGGAAAGGACTGATTAATCTGACTCACTCTCAGACATAGACATGGTCTACACTGTGTCCTACAGATGTTTCTAAATTACAAGATGGTCCTCGGCATGGATGGAAGGAGAAAACTATACTTTTCTCTCTGTGATAGTTCAGTCAGAAGGTAAAGAATCAAGCCCATTTCTTTTTATCAACTTCTATTCTTTCTGTATACTACAGAGAAATTCATACTATGGGTTGCAATTTTCATGTATATGGATCCCCGTCATTTTCAGTAAAAACACATACAAGATGGATTTTTCCTATAGTATTTAGGATGAAATTCACTAACCTATAACAATCAATCTTTAGTATTGGCTTGTTTTTGTTTGGACATTACTGTTGTTATTTGTTATGGTAAAACCATTGCTTCAAATATAATCTTTCAAGGAGGAATATCACAGACACTGCAGAATATTGATGGACTCCTAATTGGTAAATAAGTAATTGTTAGATTCTCTATCTTTTCTTCCTTAACCTTAAATACACTATATAACACTTATGTTTCTTCTCAACATTTATCTTGATTGAATAATTCAGAGCTGAGTTTCAATGTCACTATCAAGCAAAGCATATTATCACCTACTCCTCTGTGGCTTAGACATCTTAAATTAACTCTTAAAATACATACTCTGTAACTTATACACCATAGATTTTTACTCTCATTTATTGTCATTTTCACTCCTCATACAGATCAAATCTCTTTCAGGACTATCTATGAAGTTATATTAATACATGTTGTTGGATATTATCTATATTTAAATGCACTAATATAGTATATGAGTTTCTAAAATACAAAAATCAAAAGAAGCTGACATACATGCATAAGGAATAAATATGTCGAAAATTTGTCTGGCAAAAATCTGAACAGTTTGGTAGTCACAGTGGCAATAAGAGATTCAGCAAAAACTGTTGTGCCTGCAAGGGATGAAGCTGGTACACTAGTCTCCTACAATGTGTTTCTATAAATGGTTGAGAATTTGTGTTTATTTATTTTGGTTTTGCATTTAAATCGGAAACAAAAACCAAATAATCTCCAAAAGAAAAACCAAATAATCTCCTAATGCCATAAAATATGACTTACAGAAACCTGAAGTTCTCCTTATGTATATTGCTACTGAATAGAGAAGATAAAAGAAAACATGTAACATGGAATACTACTCAGCAGAAAAAAAATGGAATCTTGAAATTCGGAGGAAAATGGATGGAACTAGATAAAACCATCCTGAGTGAGGCAATCAAGTCACAAAAAGCTAAACATGGTATGTACTCACTCACATACAGATTTTAGACATAGAACAAAGGATTACCAGCCTACATGCTACATTGCCAGAGAAGCTAGGAAACAAATAGAACCCTAAGAGAGACATACATAGTCCCCTGGAGAAGGGAAAGGGACAAGATCTCATGAGCTAATTGAGAGTATGAGAGGAGGGGAAAGGGAGTTAGGAGAAAGAGAAGGGCATAAGAGAAGGGGAGAGGAGGGATTGAGGGAGGAGGAAGATTAAATCAAAGGAAGAATAGAGGTGAGCAAGAAGAGAGATAAATCTGGCACTAGTAAAATATCCAGAGATCTAAAAGGATGATAACAACTAACAATCTAAGCAATAGTGGAGAGGCTACCTTAAATGCCCTTCCCCGATAATGAGATTGATGACTACCTTATATGCCATCCTAGAGCCTTCATCCAGTAGCAGATAGCTAAACACTGAGGTGAACTCTGGAATCCAGTTGCAGAGAGAGAAGAGTGATGAGCAAAGTGGTAAAGACCAGGCTGGAGAAACCCACAGAAACAGCTGACCTGAACAAGTGGGAGCTCATGGATCCCAGACTGATAGGACTGATCCAAACCTCATGAATGTGAATGTCAGTTAGGAGGCCTGGGCAATCTATGCGGCCTCTGGTAGTGGATTAGTATTTATTCCTAATGTATCAATGGACTTTGGGAGCCCATTCCACATAGAGGGATACTCTATCAGCCTAGACACCCAGGGCAGGACTTAGAACCTGCTTCCCAGAAGGAGCACCTGATTCTCAGAAGATCTCTACTTCTCAGTGTTGTCACTATTTTTCATTTGTCTTTATCCACTGAATTCAGAGAAAGTAACAGAAATTGATATGCAGAAAAAGGAAATGGCAGAAACATTGTGAGAATGGATGAAATCTTGCTTCCCTGTTATCTGTAATTAATAACTAGAGAATGTGGATAGAGTATTGACTAACATGAAAATGGGATGAAGTGCTGTCAGATTAGTTGTTCTGAAGACCACACTGCATATGCAATCTTTCTAAAATGGTATTATGGAAGACCATAGTTGAAGATTTTCACTGGAGAAATCTAGATACATTTTATATTTGCATCTGAACATGTTTTTGGAAAGTTTAAAACATTATGGTATCTGGGGATAGTGTAAAACTACAGCACTTACTTACACCATGTGCCCTTGGATCATGAAACTTTTCTCATGAAGAATTGTTTAATTTCAAAACATATGTACACATTTCCATCTTATTTCTACTGATAAACAGTGATATCTTGACATTTCTGAAATAACTTGCTCACCTTTACTTTCTGTAATTCTAGAGTAATTTTTCAGTCATATTGCTTTCTTTCAAAAACCTGATCATTTGTGAAAATTGTAAAGAATCATTGCACTACTATACTTCTAATTTATATTATATGGAAACAAGAATGCTTTCCTCCAAATTGGTATTTCTAATGAATCATATTTTATTTTATAAAAGAAATCACAGTAGTTTAGAATGTTCAAACCACTGAAGGTCTGGATTCATCAAGGGCCATCACAGCAGCAAATATTATATATCAATGCTAGCACATAACTTTTTGATAATTTGGCAGCCCAGGGTCTTGAGATAGTGCTCAATCTTTTGTGAATCATTTCGTAGGCAATAGAAGAGTTTATAAAATGCAAATAGGTGAGTTTCTTCATTGGAAGATCTTAGTTGTCTTAGTTCTGGCCATTCAGGATAGACATTTTCTTCAAATCCAGGCTGAATCTAAACATCAAAAGGAAAGGTATTATGTACTTATTGGTATATAGTTGGTCCTTATTCCTTTTGTAAGCATGCATGTGCAGATGTGTGCATGCATGTGAACATGTGTGTGTGTGTGTGTGAGAGAGAGAGAGAGAGACAGAGAGAGAGAACATATGTACATGTATGTGGATTTGCAAGTATGTGGGTGTACATGGACATAGAAATCAAAGGTCAACCTTGGGTAAAGTTCTTTGGATGAATTCTACTACTATTTGTTCTTTGTCTAGAACACACCAGGGATCTGCTTGTCTTTGTCTCCCCAGTGGTAGGATTAAAAGGAAAATTCACACATCATCTTTCATTGATAAGAATTTTAGAATCAAACTCAAGTCCTCATACAAGCAAAGAAATCATTCACACACGTGAACAATCTCCATAGTCCTGATGCATACTCTTTTTACATTTTGAATGAAGATTGCAGGAAAAGGTGAGAGTAGAAAATTAGTCAAAATTATGGCTTGTCGGGTTTCTAAGCCAAGGTATCATGAAGTCATTAGTACTATAAGTGAAATAGGTATTCACTATTTTGGATGTGTCACTGATCCCAAATGGGGAATATGAAAGCATATTAGACAAACGGAGAATCAGAAAATTGCTATGTAGATATGGATTTAACCAAAGGACATTTTAGTGAATGGTGCCAGTTCTTTCACTTTGGAGAGTTTTACATGTCTTCAGTGCTTTCCATGGTCTGCCCGTTATTTTATGGGTTCTGGTAGAATATCCTTATCTCTTTGCCTTTCAACTAAATCTATTCTTCATATTATATACATTTCCTAACCCATAGACATGATGAGCATTCCCTTTATGAGTTAAGGTGCAGAAGACACAGCATGACTATATTAAACTCTTCTGGGTTATGTAGGTGTACCCTTCCCATTCAGGAAAGCTTCTGCCCAAATTACTACCAAGAGTAGGTATCACTTATGTGTTGCATTCTCAGGAAAGAACTTTATGAATGGTTGTTTTGTATGTGATTCCCTTCCTGGAAAGGTTGTGAACATATTGCAGATGAAGTTTTTTAAAATTAATTTCTCTTTCACACATGACATGAACAAAGAAATGTGAAGAGATGACTCACCCTGCTGAGTAAAATTCTGGCTTCTGCCAGAACTTCCTCATTTCCAAATTTAACCTCTACAGCTCTTGCCAGCATACCATCATAGGACCCTAAGTGAGTCAATGTTGCAGGTGTTAGCAGCTTCAGTGGGTACTTCCAGGCATTTGAAATATTGATGATCACTTTCAGAAGGTCTTCAGTCTAAACAATCAGATTGAACATTGCATCAAGTAAGAAAAAGAGCATGTTAGATACATTGTGTATTTACATGAAGACAAAAATTGTAATACTGGTTTATAAGCAATAAGTACTTAAAATGTTTCTTGGATCATGCTACACATTGTAGAAACGTAAAATTTAAGCCATTGAAATATATTTGCTAACATAAAACTAATTAGGTCTTAAATGATTTGTTGTTGCTATAGTTGTTCTTTTTTTGGGGTGGGGTGGGGTGAGACATGGTTTCTCTATGTAGTTTCAGAGCCTTTCCCAGAACCCCCTTTGTAGATCAGGCTGGCCTTGAATTCACACAGATCCACCTGACTCTACATCCATAGTCCTGGGATTAAAGGCATGCCCCACCACTACCTCGTTTATTCTGTTTTCTAATGAAATGTAAGAGGTACAAATTAAATTGTGAATTTTCTGGACCTCAGTTCATTATTATTCTAAAAATATCTCATGTTAGATAAATATTTGTATCTAACACAAGTATCAGTGTCCACATATTGCTTTTAGAAGTGTATAGAAAAGTAGATTTGTGCAAAAATTCTTTTCCCCACCTTTTTTCTTTAATTTCTATCATTATAGTTACACTTTAATAAGTACAGTAATAAGTACAACTTTGTATAGGTGATTTGTGTTAATGATAATATTATATAGAACACATAATATATATGAGAGGTATACACAAAAGAACTTTAGTTTAAATCAGAAAGGATTGACTATGACTGAGAGTCTGAAGGGAGAGATAAAACAATCACATATTAGAACTACTAAGAAATAAAAACCCCAGCAAAATAAAGGTTATCCTGAGATATATAATACACTATGGAGAGAATCCTCTTCTTCAGCTGATTTTCAATTAAGATATAGGAAAATGTAGATCACTCAGCGAGTACTGCACAAAATAATGAAAGAGAAATAAGACCAAGGGAGTTTCAAAACTCAAAAATAAACTGCACACTGTGATTTAAGTAGCCTGCTGACAGAGGAGGGGCTTTTAGAATTACATAATGAACACTAGTGTATTTTATTTCTTCCACGTGTATATGGATATATACTTAACCATTAATATCCAACTCAGATAAAATTTTAATCTCACTAGCAAGGTACTGGCAAAATGATCTTCTACATGGGCAACTTAAACATCAGGCATCTGCTACAATATAAGCTGGTGTTTGACTTAGTATGTATGTTACCTAATGTGTGGTGTAATGTATTTTCTGTCTGATCTTTCTTTCTTCATTTTATTGGATCTGAGATTATTGTAACTGATTTTGTCCCACTAATCTCACATAGCACAGATAGCCAGACTACTGCTAGAGTTGTCTTTTTACATAACATGGAGGAAAACCTACATTGTTTGGAGTAGGGATAGAAGCAGTGTGGCAAGTGTTATTTCCACTGTTCATAAGCAATCTTCCCTTGGCAAACCTTGCATCCTGGAAGAAAGGAAACAATTTAAGACTTTGTTGTTTCAGAATAAGATAAACACATCCATGAACAGATTATTAATGTATTTGATGGATGTTCAATTTTATCACAAAAGGACTCCATAAAGAGGACTTAAGCAAATATGGCATACCTCCTTTTTCTTTCTATTAGATATAAAATTATATGTCTTGGTCTCAAACTCTGCTCTTATTTACTATGCTCTAACTGTTTTGCCATTCTTAAAACTTTTTTGGAAAAAAGTAATAAAAAATACTCTAACCAAACACATCTAGTATTTTGAGTATCAGAACTCTATAGTATTTGAGTTGGATACCATCAAACAGTGCCTTTGTAGTGACATTTATGTATAACTTGCTTCCTATTGACTAAAGCTGATATGCTACTGTTAAGTAGATAACAGCAAATTTATACCATTTTCTCAAGTAAAATGAAGTTATAGTTGGTTCATAACAACTTCATGGTAAATTTATAAGTAAGTTGTATTGATGGTAACAAATTCCAACATAAAAATCTCTGGATATATTTTAAGAAGTATTTAAGCAATGAATGAGAGTATAAATCACAAAACAGCATTTCATATCACTGTATCAATCAAGTGAAGATTATGTTTACTTGAGGTATTTATTAATTCAAATATTCAAAAATTCAATAATCAAATTTATAAGTTTAGTGGAGTCTTAGGAACATTGTATTTGAAAGATTGTGAGTGAAGAAGGAATGAAAGAAACACTAATGAGTGAAAAAGACAATGAGAAGGTATATTCACTACAACACTACAGACACATGCTTCATATTCCTAATTCTGTATTGTCTTCATTGTTTTCACTGTAGTTACTCACCTAAACAAACCAAAAATATGTATGACCACCAAGAAGAAAGGAAATATTCACTTCTTCACCATTATTCCTATATTAATCAGTTACTCCCCAATAGAAAGCTTAAAGAATGAACACTTACTTTTGTGTTTTATACATTACAAGGTTACAGATTACATTAGTTTTATTTTTTCCAAATAATTCAATGTATTGCAGTGCCCTACATTGGATATCTATAGAACCCTTTGTGAAAAATGCCCACAGAGGTATTCCTCAAAAACGACCAGGAAACCACAGCTCCTACCTGATGAATTTTTCTGGACTTACTATTCAAAGTGGAAATTCAATAAAAATGCTTATATTTAAGGTTTCTTAGAGGAAAATTTGGAAAAAAATCATTGCCTTCTTTACAAATCTTTGCAGTCTCATTAAACCTCCTGTATTCCCTCATCTACACTTTAATAATAAGTTCTTTCTATTACATATAAATATATTAGTTGAAACTTGATTCATGATTCTTCATTTATTTCTCACATTTACTTCAGAGAAGAAGTCTGAGTTAAGTGAGGTACTTACTAAAATTCTGTACATTCTTCGGGCAACTACATGGGTGCGATGAGAAACGGAAAGCATTTTGGAATACAGTTCTTCATTGGACCTCTGGTCATCAGTCATGGAGGTCGCATGTTCCCAAAGGAGGAGACTTGACACTAGCAGCAACAGACCCATCCCTACTTCACAGAGAAAGATTCTGAGATGATCTTTACAAATGAGGCTCCAAGAGCTCTCCTGTGTGATAAGCAGTATCCTATCACTTCTAAGGATCTTGTGCAAACCCAATTCTGTACAACTGAAGTTAGGCATATGTTGTTCTCACTGCGAGAATCCAGGGAGATACCTTTTCACAGTTCACACCTTGGGAAGTAGGTGATTCTTCAGCTTGGACTGCTCTGGAATGCCTTCCCAAACTTGGAAACATTGGGAACAGTGATGATTCCAAAACTAGACTCCTTAAGTCATGTTTTAATATCTTGGGAATGTAAGCTCATTTTTCAATTCATTTAAGAAATTTCTGTGACTAATTGATTTTTCTTTTAAATATCAGTCAGATTTAAGATTATCAGCATGAACATGCTTTTTATTTTCTTTTGCCATTTTATTTGGCATATACAAAATGGTAAAGAATCAAACCTGCCATCATGGTTTTGTAACTGAGTAAAAGCAGATTGAGTAAAGTGAGCGGACACAGGTCCAAACCCTGACAACCCAAATAATTGTAGCTTCCTCTCTTTCTTCCTTTTTTCCTATGTAGGAGGGAAAATGTTTTCAGATAAGATAAAGACTTCTTCTCCCAGAAGAGTAATCCTTCAGTGCTTTGCATGTCAGAAAGCAGCCTTAAGTCATAGGCAGGTTGTGACCTACGAAGACTGAACCCTATGCAAGCATCAGTAGCTTCCTTATCCTGGATTGGAGGCAATAAAACCATTTAATCTTATGTTTTCAATAACATCCAATTCCTAAATTTCAGCAACTTGTTCATTTTTTATAAGACTATTTTTCTGGAAGATGACCTGTGCATTAGAAGATGGTTCAGTGTGGGGCACCAGTTAGATACCTGCAATATTGTCTCCATTTATTTTATAGTAAAAACAAAAGACAATTCAAAACAACCTTGGACATTGCCATGTATTAACAGAGATGGAGGATTCCCTTAGAGAACCACTTATTTAAAGGTCTACTGATCAGTGATGTTCTATAAAATTCTCAGCTCCCTTTCCTTGAATCAGGTGAGACACAGACAAACATCTATTCCCTGAAGATTACAGGAATGATAAGCACATTAAAAAGATAATATACAAACCCACCTTAACCACATAATGCATTAATAAAACTCACTTAAAGGAACAAAGATGAATGTCACTTACGGGAGCATGGTTGAGTCAATGGCAACTGCATTGTTCCACCACAATGGTGTGACCTCTAGCTCAGGAAAGTTGCCTCACCTGAGTGCTGTCTTCAGTCAGTTTTCCACCTCCTATATATACTAACAGACTGTCCCAAAGCCAAGGAAATCTTGGTGGGGGGTTGTAGCGGAACACAAGAACCAATGTCTATAGCACAATGAATCTCTTCCTTCAGGGAGTATTAACTCTATTTGTACCACAGTTTTACTTCAGTGTGGCTTCTTTTGTTTTTTGTCATGCTATCTCTAGAGTTCAAGCAATTTTGCAAATCAAAGACTTCTCCATAATGATTCATAGTCATTTCTGTCAGGAGTAATGTGCTTATTCCCTAACAATGTTTTCCTAGTTCAGGGCCTTTGTTCTTTCTGTCACCTTTCAGGTGGTAAATGCATTCTGTTCTTTCTCAACTTTAAGCTATAGTACCAAGGCAGGAGTAAATTATTTTCATGAATATAACAAAACATGAATCCATGGTGGCAACTACCAAATGTTTTAAAAGGTTCCTTTCTACAATGTTGGTCACAGTTCCAGTAACCTACACACAGACATTTAGAAGGTTTTTTTTTTTCAGATACATCACACCATTTAATAAAAGAAACAATCATACCTTCCTTGGTAGAACCTAGTTCTATAATATGTGGATTTGGTACTTCACAGTTGCCCTTTATTCAAGCAAGAGAGCTAGATTTACTACTGGGAATACATTGACAGATTCCTTCATGACTTTCCTATGTGGCTGAACAATACAGTTGTTGACAATTACTAGGACAAGGCCATCATTTCAACTCTAACTGTAATGTTAGATTTCTAGATTTACTATTATTTACACCTTAATAAATTCCCTTAGGGCTTTCCCAGGTAGCTGAATAATACAGTTGTTGACAATTTCTGGGACAGAGACAGCATAGTGTGTTTTGGTACCATATTGCCACATGTTGGGAGCTTCTATATCATTAGTACAAACCTGGATTTTTCATATTATTGAACCACAATATGCATCTTTTTCAGTATTAAGGCTTAAACTACATGCTTCTGATCTGCAACCCAACAGCATGTACAGTTAATTGTATCATGTGCTTCCCTTTCCCTAAACTCATAGGGTAAAACAACTGACCCAAGGCACTATCATCTGATTTTATAAACTTCTAATACCTAGAATAGCTTTTAACATGTATGATGACTACCTTCACATAAATTATTTAACTACTGTCTTAATTGTTTTTCCAGATTATTTTTCAAATCAAAAAATCATGGAGAGCCTAGCCTTAAACAATGTAATGTTTTCTTGAAGACAGCTTCAAGAGAAGGCAAATGTAATTTAAATGGAGAATATAGAGACTACAAAGACTTTAACATGACTAGAACAAAAATGAAAAGGCTCAAACCTTATCAAGTACCCAGATAAGCAGTCAATCATCTAAGCATAGATGGAAGATGCTACTTTATTCAATTTTCTACATTCTACCAACATTTGACTATTATTTCATGCTAGCATCTTGTATGGTAATATCCCTCTAACCAGATGGAATCATTTGAGGTAACTTTTGGACCATTAATGGGTAGAGTAGGACTACACCCAATTCTGCTATGTTATATATACTACCCATCACCCATATAACTGCTTTATGGGTTCTGACACATATGTGCTTGATGGTCTGGTTATTACAGGTTATTTATTTACTAGATATGTTTATTCACAGGGCCCAGAGATGAGTGAGTAATTTCTGTCGCATCATCTTTCTTTATATATAACATGAAATTGCTTCACTATCCACACTGAAACAAATACCTTCAAATGTCCTGAAAACATACTTCTACATGATTCATCAATTTTATAATTCTTACATCAAGAGAGAAATTTTCATAGTATACCAATACTGGTATACCCTTAGTACCCTCTTAGCTCCAAAATCAAGTACCACTGAACATCCAATGACCTCAGTGTCTGACTTTCCTTTGCTCATCCAATATTAATTGCTTTACTGTAACCATCATCCCATGGATGAGTTCTGATGGGAGAGGGTACATTCTAAACACTCAGTGTGCCCCACTATTTGGCAAAAGACTGCCCACCTTTTAAAAGAGACTATAGTATATCTATAAATTCTGCAGTGCTGGATATTCTAAAGCTCAACCCAAAAGTGATAAGAAATTTCAATTTTTCTCTATAAGAGACAAAAAAACTCTACCAATCCACTATGTGTAATTTAAATATATATACCACAAAAATGCATCTAGATTACAGAACAGAGGAAGCCTGGGGCCCATATTATCTAACTGCCCGGATGTTCTGACTCAGAGTCAGACTTAGATATGATCATGACTGTGACTTACAAACTTTTATGAATGTAAGATGACCTGAGGCATGGACACAAGAAGGTAATGATACTTTTGTCTCTCCCCCAGTTAAATCAGAAGGCAGAAAATCAAGTACATTTTCTTTTACAATGATTTTACTCCAGCTGGTTTTTGTGTAAATCACAGAAGTTCATATGCTTCCTTTAAGGATCCACATTTCCATGTATAATTGCTTCTAAATCAGCAATGAGAAAAATTCATAGACAATTTTCTGAATGGTAAGATACACAGAATTCTTAGATGCTAATAGATTTTCCCTGGTGTTCTGATGTAAGGCTGAGGGTCTTAAATATATGTAAATATCTATTAGGTAACTAGGGAAAAAGAAGGCAGGGTCATTTGACTTTGACATGGTCAGTTCTTTCTAAGTCTTTGTGGGTATGTGTGTGTGTGTGTGTGTGTGTTCTCCCATGCATGAGTCTTTGTTCATGTGCCTGTGTGTGTGTGTGTGTGTGTGTGTGTGTGTGTGTGTGTGTGTGGCCTTGGTTTCATTTTCTGAAGTGCTATAGACCTTATTTAATGTTATCTTACTGGCATGAATCTCATCATTTAGGCAAAACTCACTGGTCAGTGACCCAAGGATTCCTGTATCACCTTTCTCAGTGATAGGATTCAAGTACATGATACCTTTCTGGGCATCTCTACTTTAGTTCTGACGGTGAAACTATGGTTCGATTGGTCATAAGACAAACACTTTATCAGCAGAGCCTTCTGATCTCATTTGTAAAGAATGCGGTGATTGTTAAATATCATGATTTGAAGAGTTATAGGACACTAGCTTGGTCTGAACCTGGATTTGTTTTGTGTACTTTGTGACATTTTAAAAGAATTTACATTTAATAATGGGATGCCATTTGCTCAATAGGTGTTTTGTTTAGGTTTGTGTAACACAGCACAGGCTTGTTTGGATTTTCATGAGCCTCTTGTGGCACTACTATGTTTAGTTAGACTAGTCTAATCTTTGAAATCCTCATTTATGTGGTTAAAGCCCTATGGATTCAACTGAGGTGAATCTTCTGAATAGAGTATTATGAATTGAAATATCTGTTGTTCAGCAGTTTCATCTGTGATTAAAGCTTCCAACTTACAGAGAACCTCATGAAGATGAAGGATGTAAAAAGAGATGAAACAGCAGGGTACTCTAGGATAAGGTGAAATATTCAATCATTCTGTGTGCGTGTGCGTGTGTGTGTACATATATGTAAAATCCAATCATAATAAAGCATATATAAGCTATATGACTGATGAGCCATACTCTCAGACAGAGAGATGAGTACACTTTTAGGCAGATAAGGGTCCTAAAACACCACAAAACCAGCTATGCTAGCTTGAAGAGGAAGAGACCTAACTTAGAAGCTTAGAAGATACTCAAAAATTTTTAGGGTTACTGAAAAGTAAAATATTTGA